CTACTACTACTACTACTACTACTACTACTTTTACTACTACAACTACTACTACAACTACTACTTCTACTACTACTACAACTACTACTACTTCTACTACTACTTCTACCACTACTACTACTACTACTACTATTACTACAATAACAAGTGCTACTACTACTACTACTACTATTATTATTACTACTACTACTACTACTATTACTACAATTACTAATACCAATACTATTACTACTACTAAGACTACTACTATAACAACTACTACTACTACTACCATAACTACTACTACTACGGCTGCTCTGCTATTGCTATTGCTGCTACTACTACTACTTCTACTAATACTTATATTCTACTAGCAATAATAATAGCTATAATAATAGCAATACTACTACTAATAATCATTGTTATTAAAATTTTAATTATAGTTATAATAATAACTACTAATAATAATTTTAATTTTAATTATAGTTATAATTATTATAACCAAGTAGCAGTAGGAACATAACATCGGTGATGCATGCATATTTAAACTCCCTGTTTATCATGTTAAACAACTCGTTCGGACCTATCGGACTTACCCAGTAAACCATTTTTAAATATAATTATTATTGCTATAATTAAATATAAATATAATAATAATTATTATTATTTTTACTATTATTATTTTTTATTTGTTTATTTGAATTTAAATGGATTTCAGTTGTCATTAGCAACATGAAACGTGTGTCTTTTTGTTTTTAAGTTTAAAATCGTAGAAATGTTTATTTTGTGTTTTGCAATTTGAAGGCTATTTGTGTTTGCATGTATGTGTGTGTGTGTGTGTGTCTCTCTCTCTCTTCTCTCTTTTTTTGTATGTGAGAGAGAGAGAGAGAGAGAGAGAAAATTTATCAGTATAATTTTTTCTGTGTTTCTGTTGTATGTTTATGTGTTAATTGCACACATTGTTATGTTTGTGTGTGTGTGTTACAATATTGAAAAAATATGTGTTTGTTTGTATGTATGTATGTGCGTGTGTGTGTGTGTGTGTGTGTGAAAGAGAGAGAGAAAGATAGAGAGAAAGAGAGAATAATTTGTCAGTATTATTCTGTCTTTGTTGTATATTTTTTTGTTAGATTTTAATTGAAATTTTTTACAAAATAGGTATGCGCCGCCCGGGGATCGAACCCGGTTCGCAAGATTGGGAATCTAGCATGATACCATTACACCAGCGGCGCACGCTGCTTGTAATTGTTTCGAAATTTCAGTAAAGTGCCTCTCCTTAATAATGAATTTTTAAAATTTTCGAAAGATTTCCTCGACAGTTAACCGAAACGAATAGTTTATAAGTGAATAAAAGTTACGATTTAGCGCGTCAGTTTGTTCGAGATGTTCTCTCACATCCGTGCAGCTTACCTGGTGGCCCTCTTGTTGACGTTGCTAACTCTGTCGTTAAGCTCGATCGTTTCTAAATTTGCAGTAGTAAAATGTTTTAAAATTTCCGAAATTATATATTTAAAATTATAAATTCATAATATTATATTATATTATATTACATAAATTATATATATGTCGAAACTGAGAATTAATCTTTATATTTTTGTCACGCCAAATTAAAATAATTCATCGTTATTAAAGAATTATTAAAGTTTAATAACACGTAAAAACAATTGTGGACATTTTATTTTAAAACATTCTTGTTTATTATCACGAGTAAGTTTATCTATAAGGTTAGATAGCAATAAAATTTACGAAGTTAAATGAACGAAGCTAGTATGAAGAATGACGATGAGGGATCTAGCAGCAGCTGCTGCTGCAACAACAATCCGGGTTCAACTGCAGAGGTAGCCAGATTGAAACGCATGATAAGTCAGATGGAGGTTGAGATCAAAGCCAACAGAGGGACGATATCTAGACTGGCTGCAGAAGCTGAGAAGCAGCATCTGTCTGCAGTGGATGGGTTGTCGCAAGTTCAACACTTCATTAAAGTTTGCTTGCAATACTATACGATACCTTTTTTTTATTTGATCTCAAAATAGATGATGATGACGACAAAATGATGATGAAAATTTTACTGGAGTTTAGTTACAATTCAAAACTCAATCTTTCATCTCAAAATAAATGATGATGACGACGAAAAATCATGTTAAAGTCGTAAACATTGAACATTTTATTAAAGTTTTTAATCTTTTTTTTTTACATTACAATGCAATAAATTTACTAATCAGCTTTTGTTGAGTACTTTCAAACAGTTCATTTTGGAAAGCGCTTCTATTACTACTACTACTACTCATTATAATAATAATAATAATAATAATAATAATAATAATAATAATAATAATGATAATTTCATTTACAAACAGTGAATCAAAATTTACCGTAAAAAAAAATTATTTTCTCCAAATAGGAGAAAGAAGCGTTCGAAGTCGAAAAGCGGCAAGCAACAGACGAATTTGAAAGATTGAAGATCGCTTTATCAGAAACCGAAGCCAAACTTGCTGATAGTCAGGCGAGGATCGCCAATTTAGAAAGAGAGTTTAGTGAATCATCTACTACTGTGACATTAGCTATCATGATTTTTTCATTACCATATTAGCTATCATGATTCTCTTGCTATACAACTAACTCTGTTTTTATAACGATTCAAAATTGTATCCTTATTGCATCATTGACTATTGTTATTGACTATTAGATATCACGATCCTCTTAGTTCATAACTAATTCTGTTTGTATCCTAACAGATTAAGAGTGCGTGGACTTCAGAACGAAGATTTCGTAAATGTAAAGAGGAATCACACAAAATTTAAGAACAAATTAATTAATTTATTATTTGAAAGTTGTGAGAACGTCGGTGAAGATGGTGCAGTTGATGAGGAAGGCATCATCAAGGAGATCATCGGCTTGAAAGACAGACATAAAGTTAGCATACATACAATGTGAACTAAATATCCGTAAAGATTAGGAAGTATGGGTGAAAATAGTTGACCTGTCTTCGTATGTATTCATACTGGCCGATGTATCTGACGACAGATCAGCTATTTTCACTATTTCACGAAAATAAGAACGTAAATTTCCATCTCCGTAATCTTGCATTTTTATTTTTTCCATCCGAAATTTGGAATTTGGATTTGACTCAAAATAGATATAAATTAATTTTTTTTCTATTAAATTATATTTTTCAGTCCAATTTAGAAGAGAAGGAGACATTAGTGACCAAATACCATCAGAAGACCTCGGAAGAAGTTGAGAGGTTGGAAGACGTAATTAAGGATCTTGAAAGAGATTTCATTGACTGTAGAAATTCCGTTATTAGGCTGGAACAAGATAAACAAAAAGTTATTCGTCATTAACGCCATTAGTGTTTAATCAACCTACTAATTCATTCATTCATTAAATTTTTAGCTAAACCAATAAGCCAATTAATTAATAATTAATTGAATTCCTAATTACAAAATTAATTAATTAATTAGTTCTTAGGCTTCATCACCCAATTAAAATCGATCGTTGGAATAGCCGAAGCGGATGTCGATCTGGGATTGGACAGGACACTTGAGGTCATCTTGCTGAGAACCAATCAGCTTTCGAGAAACGAAACGACATCTTTGGCCGAGAAAAAATCACAAGTGTACACTCTGCAAAGGAAATTGAAAAGTTTGAACGAAAATATGGATAGTAAGGTAGTCTTCATTCCAAGGGCGGATCCAGGAAGTTTGACTGGGGGGGGGGGCGAAAATTTTTAAATAAATATTTTGTAATGTTGAATATATCCATTTTTGATTATAAATTTTAGAATGTAAATTAATTGAATAATATAATGTTTTATGTTTACTTTGATTTATTTATAATTTTTATTACAAATGATCAAAGGAAAATTATGAACGCACCCACGCGGCAAAATACACTTGAAAATTTTTTGAACGCTTCTTCCGTCTGATTTTCATTTTAAAAATTCAAATTTGAGTTGCGCTAGTAATAGTACTGTATAAGTATCATAATTCATAATCATATTTTCAGTTTTTTTTAGAAGATTAATTTAAATATATATGGATCGTTTTGTGAAGCGAACTAAAAGGGCACATCCACCAGGTTAGGTCACCACACGATATGAATTTGTTCACTAGTAGCATAGAAATTGTTAAATAAGTGTTCAGAGTTAAGTTAAATTTAGTTTATTTTTTTAGAACTACATGAAGGCGATAGTTCCGATAATCATAATGAAAAAGTGATTGTTAAAAATGATGAATCATTTGAGCAAGTAGCTTTGCACGATAATGACGAAGATAACAAGATAAAGAATAATGAAAAAGTCTATCAACAAATGGATTTTGTACATAATAATGATATTGGACTGTATGTGGGCAGCAGAATCCATGGAAACCAGAATTTGGCTACAAATTTCCGTATTCAAATCATATTAAAAATAGTAAAAATGAAAAACGGTACATTTTGAAAAGTCACTTGGAAACATTTAATGCATGGTTGACATACTCGCATGTGGAACAAGGTTTATTTTGCAGGTATTGTGCTCTAATGGCTGACACCGGCGGTATTAGTCATCAAACGCCATTGCAAAAATTAGTAAAAAAACCACTTACTTCATTTGCAAAATTATTAGGCAAAGATGGTGATCTCAGCTGTCATGAACAATACAGGTATCACAAAGAGTCAGTTCAGAGGGGCAATGATTTTGTCAAATCATACCAAAATCCATTATTTGAAGTTGTTAATCAACTCTATTCCGCAAGATATCAGCAAATGAAGGAAAACAGAGAAAGATTGAAGCCCATAATTAAATCTATTATTTTTTTGGGAAAACAAAATATTCCTCTACGAGGACATCGAGATGACGGAAAACTTAATATAAGTACTAATGATGCAGGCGATGCTGATAATGATGATGATGAAGATGACGAAAATTTGGACAATGACATGCTTAATGAAGGGGTATATGGTACCGGTCCAGTTAGAAATGAGGGTAATTTCAGAGAACTACTTCAGTTTAGGGTCGATGCTGGAGACCATGTTCTTGA